TTAATATTATATATATTATATAATATAATGATATATAATTAATGTGTACTATTGGCTTAATTGGTAAAGCGCCCGTTTTGTAATCGGGAGAGTTAGAGTTCGAGTCTCTAATAGTACAAATTATATAGATCCTATAGTTTAACGGTTAGAACCTTAGCCCTTCAAGCTAATAGTACTGGTTCGATTCCAGTTAGGATTAATATAAACCTATGATTCAATGGTTAGAATGATCGCTTGATATGCGTTTTGTGTAGGTTCGATTCCTGCTAGGTTTAATTTATAATAATATTAAGCTAGTGTAGCTTAAAGGTAAAGCGACGGCTTGAAGCGCTGTATATATGGGTTCAATTCCCTTCATTGGCATAAATAATAATCGTTTAACGATATATAATCTATAATGATTTAATTTATATATAATGCAATTAGTATTAGCAGCTAAATATATTGGAGCAGGTATTGCTACTATCGGTTTAACAGGTGCAGGTATCGGTATCGCTATCGTATTCGCAGCTTTAATTAACGGTACATCACGTAACCCTTCATTACGTAACACATTATTCCCATTAGCTATTTTAGGGTTCGCCTTAGCTGAAGCTACAGGTTTATTCTGTTTAATGATCTCATTCTTATTACTATACGGTGTTTAGTTTTAAAATCTTTTTAATATTATACAATTTTTACATTATAATTATTATATATAAATTTTATATATTATTTACTACCATCTTTTATTACTTATTCATTATATAATGAACCGATGTAATTATATATTTATATATAATCTATTTAACTTATATATAGATAAGTTAATTTTATAAACTAGTTAATATTAATAAATATTAACTATATAATTATAAATAATATATAATTAAACAATTAATATATGTATTATACCCGGCTCATCATATGATGAGCCGGAAGGAACATGCGTTTATATATATTTATATTCTTTATTTATCATATAATTATAAGATAATATATTTTTATATTAATATTTATTTACCTTTTCACCCCTCCCGGATCATATAATGATCCGGGAAGATATTTATGAGTTAATATAAAATAATATAATTATATTAGTATATAATTTATATTACTAACTAATATATTATGATATATAGGCGTATACCGGCTTATTATATGAACCGGTATTAATATATTTATGAACAGGTATAAATTAATATTTATCAGTTAATACATAATTATTAATATAATATATAATATTATTATTTAATAAGAGTTAAATATTAATATAAAATTATGTAGATATTATAATATTTAATATATCAATCCGGCTCATCATGATGAGCCGGAGTATCTGTCTATTATTATATAATCTTTATATTTATAATTTATTATAATTAACAGATTAATATTTAATATAATTATAAGATAATATATTTGTATAATATTATATATATTTTCTCCCGGATCATTATATAATCCGGTAAAATATTATGAGTTGATATTAAACTATATATTAATATTAAGGTTAATATATTATTATAAATATATTATGATAAACTCTATTATATTATATATAATTAGATCTAACCGGCTCATTATATGAGCCGGTGTAATTATATATTTATATATATAATCTATTTAATTTATATAAATTTATATATTTATTTATGATATTTATCATATTAATATAATATTATTTAAGTATAATTAATATAATAATTATTTTATAAAGTCAAATATATTAAACCTATATATAATGTATATATAATATACATTTAATATATCATTTCCGGCTCATGATAATGAGCCGGAGTATATATCTATAATAAACTTTATATTAAAATATTTATAAGTTTATATTCATAGATAGATTCATTTTATGAATTGGTTATTATTAATAAATATTAATGTATATAATTATAAATAATATATTATTTAACAATTAATATATGAATAATACCCGGCTCATCATATGATGAGCCGGGAGGAATATGCGTTTATAAATATTTATATTCTTTATTTTAAATATATATAATATATATATATTATACTATTATTAATATATTATTATAAGATAATAAATTTATAATAATATTTTCTCATCTTTTACCCCTCCCCTACCCGGATCATTATATGATCCGGGAAATATTATGAGCTGATATTTAAACTATATATTAATAATATAATAATTATTCAATTGATATAAAATAATATATTTAGATTTATTATAATAAGTTAATATATATAGTATATACTTTAATAAGGGTATACCGGCTCATATAATGAGCCGGTATAATTGTACATTTATATTCTATATTTATTATATAATTATAAGATAATATATTTTTATATTAATATTTATTTATCCCCCCCCCCCCGGATCATTACATGATCCGGGAAGATATTTATGAGCTAATTTTAAAATTATATAATTATTATATAATGATTATCCAATTGATATAAAATAATATATTTAAGTTTATATATAATATAATTATATGATTTATATTACTAACTAATATATTATGATATATTTATATAATTTATAGGCGTATACCGGCTCATATAATGAGCCGGTATAATATTGTATCTTATATATAATTAATTAATTCTATATATTTATATATCAATTATCTTATAATAAATTAACGTTAATATAATAAACCCTAAGATATATTAAATATTATAATATTTTATCAATAATTTATTCTTACCGGTTCATATTATGAACCGGTATATTAATAGGAATATTTAAACTAATATGTTAATTTTATTAATATATTTATACTCGTAAGTATTATTATATATTTAACTTTTACCGGTTCATATTATGAACCGGTAGTAATATGTACACATTATCTTATATAATATTTATAATTATTTATATATTTATATTAAATTTATTAACTTACTCATACCTGCTTATATTATGTTCATATTATAATATTTAATATATCAATCCGGCTCATCATACGATGAGCCGGAGTATCTGTCTATTACAATATATACTTTATATTATTATATTTATAGTTTATTATAATTAACAGGCTAATATTTAATATAATTATATATTATTATAAATAGTATAGGCTTATATAATAATTAATTAATTAATTAATTAACTAACTAACTAACTAACTAACCCGGCTCATTATATGAGCCGGGAGGAATATGTATATATATTATGATATATTTAATTATTATAATATTGTTAATATATTATAAACATAATAATACAATATATTAATACCTAATCTACCCGGATCATTATATGATCCGGTAAAATATTATGAGTTGATATTAAACTATATATTAATATTATTATTAATATATTATGATAAAACTCTATTATATTATATATAATTTGATCTAACCGGCTCATAATATGAGCCGGTGTAATTATATATCTTTATACATAATCAATTTATATTATATATTATAATATATATTTAGACTAATATATAATACTTATTAATATATAATATTTATTAGTATTATATTATAATAAACTTTAAATTGTATTATAATTATAAACCCGACTCTATAAGAGTCAAATATAGGTTAAATAATAATATTTATCTATAATTTATGAATTATATCTATCCGGCTCATAATATGAGCCGGAATGATAATGCGTTTATAAATATATAGTATATTTTATTAATAATATTATATATAATAATTTAATTATTATTAATATATATATACTACTACTAATTATTATAAAATAGATATATAAAAATATGTAATGTCAAACTTCCCGGATCATATAATGATCCGGGATTATAATTAGCTAATATTAATATCCTTTATAAATGAATATTAATATATTAATTTATATATAATATAAAATATTATCACTAATTAATAAATAATTATATAACTAATATATATATATTAATAGTAATATATACTAAATAAGATATAAAATATACTTTGGTATATTTATGAATCGGGAATAGATATAATTTATATATTATTATAATATAATAAGATATTATATATATTTAATTATCTAGTATAATTTATAAGATTGAATTATTATTCTTAATAAATAAGATTAATAAACATAGTAATAATATTATGTATTTACTAACCCGGCCTTATTTATAAGGCCGGGTAATATTATAAGTTAATATAGACTATATTATATAATAATTAATATATTATCATATAATAATATACATTATTTATATATTATAAATTTATACCATAGCGATAAGAACAGTTAATACGAGTAATGCAGATAGATTAGGGTTAATTAAAGTTACAACGAATAATAAGATAAGACCTATAAACATAGAATAGAATCTACGATGTAAAGTATTACGTAATAATGTACTAGCATAATCTGAAATAGCATGTCATCCATTAGGACCTAATCATTGTAATACACCTTGATCAACAGCATTATTAAGATTACCACCTAATAATAAACCTTTACGAATAACTAAATGATTAAGCATTTGATCATACATTAAACGTTGATTAAATAAACTAAATACAGATCTATAATTATTAGATTTAAATGCAGCACCTAATACTTCATAACTATAAACAGTAATAATACTAATAGTAACACCACATGTAATAGGTAAAAGTTTAAATACTGGTGTAAGTGTAAATTCAGTTTCAACTAATGAGAATGTATGAGGTAATTGGAATACAACATCAGTACCAAAACCTACTAATAAATCTCTAAATAAATAACCAACAAAAATAGAACATACAGCTAAAATAGTTATAGGAATTATCATAATATAATCACATTCAGCTAATGATTGATAAATTCATTTAGATGCCATAGGACGATTTCAAAATGTTAAATATAATAATCTAATACTATATAATGATGTTAATGTTGCACTTAATAATGATAATCAATAAACACAATAACCTGATACTGTATAAATACCTAATATTGATTCAATAATAGCATCTTTACTATAAAAACCTGTAAGACCAGGAATAGCCATAAGAGATAATGAAGCAATTAATAAACAAGTATATGTAAATGGTAAATAACGATTAAATCCACCATATGTACGCATATCTTGTGATTCACTAATAACACTATGAATAATAGCACCAGCACTTATAAATAATAATGCTTTAAAGAATGAATGACAGAATAAATGAAATAAAGCTAAACTATAACCTGATCCACCAACAGCTACAACAATTAAACCTAATTGAGACATAGTTGATAAAGCAATAACACGTTTAATATCTGAACTTACAACAGCAATAAG